TGGATGTGGATGTGGATCTGGAAGCGAGGTTCAAGAAATTGTTATGACCCAGTGCAAGTGAATGTCCGTCAGTCCGTCGTTTCTCTATTTATATATCAACCGTGTGTGTAGTGGTTTGTGTCTTATGTTTTTTCCCTGGCTTGTTATGGTGGCTAGAAAACAATACGGAGCCAAAAGGAGGAGCAAACAAATAGCCGCACGTGATATGCACCCAAGAAACCACAGGGAAACGGGGCGCTGAGCCAGGGCTAATTGGTAAAACTTCGTCGAGCCATCGAACTGTCAATTGTCAAAAGCCAAGGCAGCAGGTCGAATCGGGCCGCAAACTAAGTTTGGAACTTGGCAAAACATAATTCGCCAGCCCTTTGGGAGAACTGCCACTGCCGAAACTGAATTTTGTGGGCGTTTGTGGGCCCGGCTGCCTGCAATTTATATATAGCAGAGAACCTAGGCCAATAATTTAAGAAGTTCACGCTACACAAAGTTCAAGTGAAGTATGCCAGGTCTGCCTGCCTCGTCCTAAAAGATGGCAAACGGAAATTTACTGCAGGCACGAACAGCAAAGGGGTTATAAAAGGGGTAAAGTAAGGGGAACTTCCCTGCAAACTGCGGAACGAAATATGCACATTTCCACACTTAATAACAAAATATGTTAAACAAAATCATTTGATGTTGGGCTGTTGGGCGTAATTTTTTCAGCAGTGCAGGGCTTGAGTGCTTGTGTGTTTGTGTTGCCAGAAGGCCAACACTCACATGAGCGCGAAACACATGTTTACATGCAAATTACAAAAAGCAAGCAGCAGTGGCAAACAAACGCAAATTATATGCTGCATACTTTTAGGCCTGCGACTCAGACTTCATCGTGTATCGAGTTACCAAAGTAAATTGTATGGGGACTTTCCCCCACGTTCATTTCCGCAGAAAAACGGCGTCCAGACAATGTCGCGTCGCTTCCTGGGTCCTTTATAGGCGTCCTTTCCTCAGGTCCTGCCAGCCGCCACTTTGCATACATACATTTAAAGTATTTTCGTTTCATACTGCCCTTGCAGAGGGTATTTGAGTTGAGCTTCCCACCAAGAAAACATAGGAGCTCAAGTTTGAGAAACTTATTGCTGAAAACGGAATGAATGAAATTGTACTAGTGACTAGCCTCTGCGATACAAAAGTTCTTCAAGGTACTTGATGTTTATTAAATTTTTACTTTCATTTTTTAAATTTAGTATATAGAGATTCAAATCAAACTTAAAATGTTTGTTTTTTTTAAATTGCCTTTAAGACAGATCCGTAAATGAGCAAGAATACCTCTGTGATAATATCTTCGCTTTAAAGACAGCTGCCTTTCCAAGGGTATTTTGTCTTTCGCCTTGTAAAGTTTTCATGTTATTATTACGTTTTACCGCCCTTAGATGGAAATCGTCGGCATAAAAAAAGCCACACTGGCGTAACATGTAAACAAACTCATTTAACTGATTTTCAGAAAGGAAAACGTGGCTCCTGGGCATGGTGTCTGGTAATGGGCGGTGAGATTGCCAGGCGAGAGGAATTGTGGGTGTGAGTGGGTCTGGAAAGACCGCATTATCATCATCATCTCGGTGCTGTTTTTTGCCCGCAACTCTTTTTCAGGGAGCCAAACAGCAGCTGCCGTGGCCGCAGCCTGAGGCTAGATTTACGTGTCACTCGACTTAAGTTGGTCCTGGTCCAGGACCTCACCTCAGCTTTGTCGAGCACTCGTGACCACGGCGACAAGTTGACTTGCTCGTTCCATCTGAGATCCAAGAATCCCGCAATCAGGATCCTCATACCAATACCTCCTTCTGCACACACAATCTTTGCATAATTTCCAACTGTTTTCCTTTCGTTTTGTCTGCGCCTTTTTTACTTCACTTCCACTTGCTAAGCCACAAAAAAGGCCAGTGTCAGCAGAAACAGGAAAACAAACTAAGTACAATTTCATGCCAATTTTTTGTTCAACTGGACACGGCTATTTTGGCATTTGTTTCTCAGGAAAGATCCGATTTATCCCCGCACATAATCCGCATAGAAATGTTTTAAATATGCAGATTTTATTGCTTGCTTTTTGGGGTGGACGAAACGAGATATACAAACATTTTAATAATAACTGGCCTGTAAAGCAATATGGAGGACCCCATAAACCTTTGGTCAGGTTTTTCTTTGAAATTGGGCCAACAAAAGCGCAAAACTTTGGAGGGCGCTTTCTTGTGTACAAAATCAAAAGGATAATTGAGACATATGAACAATATCCCTAAGTGCGAGAGCCCAAAGCACCAACAACAAGCTCAACTCAATGAAAGGTCGCACATCAAAGGTGGCCCCCAGACATTTTGCCAGCTTTCCCCAGATGAAAAGCAATTAACAAAAGTAAAAGCGAGCGAGCACTGACTGGGGATGTCGGAGTAAAAAGAAAATAAAAGTCGGGAGAAATAAAAAATATTAAATGCTTGAAAAGGGGAAATTGGAGGGGGCACACGCAGACGTGGCCACCTCAAAAAAGTGCCAGGCACTCACAAAACTGCTTGAAAAATGCTGGGGCCAAGGGGGATTGCTAAATGTGGGAAGTGTGCACTTAAAGCAAAATATGTCTTAGTTACAGCAAATTTTACAAGAAAGAAAGCAAACTTCGGCAAGCCGAAGTTCATATACCCTTGCAGCTATCGCAAGAATTAAATATTTTTGAAAACATTAAAATTATGATTTACTTGCGTATATGTTTAAAAACATTGAAGCTATGAAGATTTGCAGCTTAATTATTTGATTGTTCTTTTATATATTTTCATTATTTGTATAGGAGCTATATGATATAGTCGTCCGATTTTGATGAAATTTAAACCATAATTCTGAAATATTTAACCATTGCTATATGTCGAAGAACTAAAAAACAAATTAAAAAACAGCAAAGTTATAATTTTTTCAATTATTTTTCCGATTGTTCCTATGGGAGCTATATGCTATAGTCGTCCGATTTTGATGAAATTTTAATCATAATTCTGAAATATTTAACCATTGCTATATGTCGAAGAACTAAACAAAAAATTAAAAAGCAGCAAAGTTATAATTTTTTTTCAATTATTTTTCTGATTGTTCCTATGGGAGCTATATGCTATAGTCGTCCGATTTTGATGAAATTTTAACCATAACTCTGAAATATTTAACCATTGCTTTATGTCGAAGAACAAAACAAAAAATTAAAAAACAGCAAAGTTATAATTTTTTTTCAATTATTTTTCCGATTGTTCCTATGGGAGCTATATGCTATAGTCGACCGATTTTAATGAAATTTAAACCGTAAATCGGAAATATTTAACCATTATTATATGTCGAAGAACTAAACAAAAAATTAAAAAACAGCAAAGTTATAATTTTTTTTCATTTATTTTTCCGATTGTTCCTATGGGAGCTATATGCTATTGTCGTCCGATCCGGCTCGTTCCGACTTATATACTACCTGCAATAGAAAGACAACTTTTGGAAAAGTTTCATGCAGATAGCTTTAAAACTGAGAGACTAGTTTGCATATAAACGGACGGACAGACGGACAGACGGACAGACGGACGGACAGACGGACAGACGGACAGACGGACGGACAGACGGACATGGCTAGATCGACTCTACTAGTGATGCTGATCAAGAATATATATACTTTATAGGGTCGGAAACGTCTCCTTCACTGCGTTGCAAACTTCTGACTGAAATTATAATACCCTCTGCAAGGGTATAAAAATATTACATATTTATTAAAACGTTGCCGTAATATATGTAAAATATTTTAAGATTCTGAGACGGAAAGTTCTAAATAATTTTAAGGAACTTACATTTTCTAATTTCAATTCTATTTTAAAAGTTACATATAAACATACTTATTAAAACGTTACCATAAATTTAGTTTTTGACACATATTTTAAGTTTCTAAGACAGAAATTTCTTATTGAATTTTTAAGAATTAACATTTTCTAATTACAAATTAATTTTAAAATAGTATGTTTCGGCTAAGTACTCAATTTTTTTTTGTGTAAAAAAGTAAAAAAGTTGGGGCCTCGCACACATGCACGACAAAGCAGAATAATAAATTTCAATTCAGACGACGACATGACGTCTCTGTCTCACGTCGACGTGCATGTTGATAAGAAGGAGTACAACCCTTCCAGCTTCCCACCTCCCACTTTCCTCTATATGCCCGCAGCTTGGGGCAGTTGCTTTAGCCTTGGCTAGGCCTTTCGGCCAGGTCGGAATAACCGGGGAAAAACGCTGAATGCGAAAATGGGAAAAAGAGTCGCACATAAATGCCACGTGGGTGAACACAAATACTCGTTCAGTGGGTGCAGAAGGGAAATGCGCAACGCAGCCCAAAGGTGTCAAGCGGAAAATAAAGCATAATAATGGCTGCAGCCAAGAAACAAAGGCCTGAACATTGGGTGGGGTTGAGGGTATGGAACTCACAACTCAGAACTCAGACACACGTCTGTCATTTAGGCAGTGGAGATGAAAATTCTAGGTGCGTAGTTGACGCATTATTCGTCTGACAATGCCATCAGCAAAGTTCACTTAACGTTCGGCTTTAGTACACGGCGATAAGAGAAAAATCTCCAAATGTGCTTATAATTTATGCAAAAGCCCCAAGCACCATCAAAGAAAATACCAAATGAGGAGCTACTTCTTATACTCTTAGCAGAAGCCACAAAAATAAGCCTCGTTTTCTTAGAAAAGGAAATATGTATCCACAGAGTAATTAAACAGGGGTACAAATCGGGTTATTTTTAATTATGTATTTATGTCCGTAAACCTTTGGTATGTGGAATTTAAAATCTATACAGTATTTTGCATATTAAAATATTTCTGTATAAAAATAATTATTTTTAAGCAATACTTAAGTTTCCTATATGACAACACTTAAAGATTTATAAAAAACATGAATAAATACTTTTCAAAATACATACAAATTAAAGAATAAACATTTTAACCCGATAACCTTTCCTTTTTTTCAGATATATATGAAGAAGATGCGAAGGCTCGACTCTTGACGGAGTCCAGACCGAGATCCCCAGTCCAGAAGCGAGTCAAAGTCCTCGAGAAGGACAAAAGCCACTTGATGAGCGGCTGGAGCGCTATGCTCTGATCTGCTTTGTTGGATTGAACAAGGCGAGCGATAACCATAACTGGAATAGCGGCCAAAGTAATTTGAATTTGTGCATGCGCCGGGAGGGAACGAGAGCGCTGCAAACTGTGTACATATTTTGTCTCTGTCTGTTTCCGGTCGCCTGCGAAACTGTGTGTGTGCTAGTGAGTGTGTGTGCATTTCGCGTAAATAAATGCAATACAAAAACTGAAACAGCAAAATCAGAAGAAACAGGAATAACAAGCGAAATGGCAAAAAGTGCAGTTAAGCGTGGAAATTGCATTAAAAATTGAGCAAAAAAATTGAGAAAACGAAAAGCGGCGAAAAGACAAAAAACGGAACAAACAAAGACGCGAAACGAATCGCTAGAGTTAACGAGCGCTAAAAAGCAAAAACAACAAAAGAAAAAGAAAAACAAACAAAAAGACAGACAAAGGCGGGAAAAAAAGAGTGAAGTTTTGATTGAAATTTTCACTGTTCTTTTATCCTTTTGTGGATTGTGTAAATTTCTGATTAAGCAACAAGAAACCATCAACAAACGCGAGGCGCGAAACGTAAAATAATATCCATCCAAAAAAAGGATTCACGCTTCCAGTTTCCACACAACTTAATTCGATCTAGCGAAACTTGGTAAGGAGTATCAAATATCAAATATCTAATATCGAAGAACTTTTTTTTGTAATCAAGCATCAAAGCACTGGCGCAGTTCGTGTTTCAATTTCTGTCATGACAGTTCGGGCCTACATTTTGCTATATTTTTTATTGTTTATGCACAACAGCAAGATCGCCGCTTGCGTTTCGCCCAGCCATAAACACATCTGACTGATACACACCAAATTGAGCCGTGAACACTGAAATTCGAGTGCGAGTGCCAGTGCGAAAGCGAGTGAGTCGTGCAGTAAAAGTCAGAGTCAAAGTCAGCCAACCAGCCAAGCAGCCAGCCCCACCTAACGTCCACACAAAACAGCCCGAGAAGTCGGGTCGTTGACAAAGTAACGCATTTAGTGATAAGAGCCAAACGACTTTGGCAAAATGAGCAGCCAAAACATGAGCAGCAGCAGCAGCAGCAGCAGCAGGAGCAGGAGCAGCAGCAGTAGCACAAGGAGCAGCAGCAGCAGGACGAGGATGGGCCAACTATTGCTCCTTATCGGCATCGCCGTCGCATCATGTTTGCCGGGTAAGTGTCAACAGCAGTCCCTGTCCCTGACTCCTGTCCCCTGTCTCCGGTTTCCTGTTAGCATCGCCGACTTATCAGCCAGGCCCGGAATTAATGCAAATATTTAACGTGCTTTTTTATGGATTTGTCGTCGTCATTGCTCCTTTGCTCCCTTGCTCCCTTGCTTCTCGTACAGCCTACATCGAGGTCCTGTCATAATAACGAGCTCACAGAGCCACTGCTCTCCACTTGACATGACTTGTAAATGGCTTTCGATTAAGTTGTCACATTAGCATTAATCTTGAGCTGCGAGGAGCAGGCATCTTCGAGCTCATTGAAGTTCAATCAAGTTGTCTGGCTGCTCTTATTTTCGCAACCCCTGCTAATGAGCCGTGAGCTGATGAGTTAGCTCTCTTTGCGAACAGTTTCTAGAGAAGCTATGGAGCTCTAGAGGTGATCTGGGTCACCAGGAGATCTGGGGGCACTCACCATATAATTGAAATATAATTACTCGCCTGCAAGCCCCTTAAGCCGTTCAGCCCGTTAACTCATATATATTCATTATTTCATTAACTATTCAGGCATTTTGCAGCTTCGCTGGTGAATTTTAAATGTGTGAGCCACGAACAACAAAAATCTTTTCAATAAATATTACTGCGTGCTATGAATATGCAAACGCCATTATCCTGAATGTTTTTTCCTCACAAGTGTAATCCGATAATCGTCAGTGCATCACAGGAGAGGCACAAGGCAATTACTGAAACCAATTGGTTTAAAATTAAAGAGGTCATTCCATCATTTTAATTTCAATTGGCCTGCGTTCCTAATCAAAATGACCAATTTAATGCCAAGTTCACATGGGGATTACGTATACGCAGCGTTAGCACACCCATAAAATCATTTCGGCAAGCAAAACAATGACGCAAACGTCAATGATAGTTATGTTTGGTTGTTTTTTGGATGGATGGGGGTGGTACGTAGAATTTCTTTTATTTGTCCATCACAAATCATCAGCTGGGCCCTGCGTTTGTCATTTGATTTCGGTCGCACGGTTCAAAGTCCCTTTCATTTCATTTTATTTGGCTTTGTTTTTTTTTCGCTCGCTTCGTTTGAATTGCAATATTTTCATTTACAGCAGCAAATTCGAATTCGGGGCATTATTTGTGTTTGTGTTTTGTCTTTGCCCTCTATTTGCTCTTTATTTGCTCTCCATTTGTGTGTTGTTTTGCTAATTCGAACTATTTGAAATGTTTTTGGTTCCCAGCGAGGACGAGGGCAAGGGCGAAGCACTAACAATATCGCTGTTTGTGTTTGCCCTGGCTCCTCTAATTCGCCACCCAAAAATAGTTAATGCGAAATTAATTTCCAAATTGAACCAAAGCTATAAATAAAACATTTCGCTTCGATCGGAACGAGCTTTTCCTTTCATGTTCATGTTCGCTTTTATGGCAGCGACAAAAATTGGTCTCAATAAAAGTTTACGTTTCATAAAATTTATTATGTATGCAATACAATGGGCTTAACACACTGCGGGGTGCAGTGGTATGGGGACTTGGCAAACACACTCTCCGGCTCAATGGCTCACTGGCAATGAAAACGACAACGGTCAAATCAAAGCAGGAATGACCCAAAAACAGCAAGGAAATGAACGACTTTATATGCAGGATAATGGCCAGGACATCATGGTGTCGGGAGTTCCTCACGTATGGTATGCATGCCCCAATGTGAATGTACGTATGTGTTTGCGGCACTCAAGCAGGCGGAAATTTATTACGGCTCTGAGAGTTGGACAATCCTTGCCTCCCCCCTTTCTGCCATTTGAACTTCGGACAACTATTGGGCTTTATTCGAAATCATTGACCAAATTCTTAAGTAATCAAACTGAAAGTTTTCCCCTATCTCAACTGTGGCCGATAAGAGCTTTCCACTCACCCAGATAAATACAAATCATGCAAACTGGCCAAAAAAGCAGCAAACGAAAAACGTTCAACATGACTTTTCAATTTTGGAATGTGTTTAAAAATGTGCTTCAGTCGGAGGAGTATTATGCCATGTGTGTGAGTGGGTGCGAACAGCTGACTCTTAATGGCGATTGGAGCTGTATCACCCATCCGCCTTGTAATCCGAAAAGTTTAAATCGGAAAAAGTTCGAGTGGCAACTTTTAATGGCACACTAAAATAATGAAAACCAAGACCTAATCAAACCAGCTCCAGGTAACAGATTCAGGTTTAGTTACATCGATATTGTGATAGGAAACGTAGTACTGTTTTATAGCCCTCTAAAAATCAGAATGAGAAATTCTTAAATCTTTTAATTACTTGCTTTTCTGACAACAAAGTTTAAATGTTGTTTTGCAAACAGAAACTTTGATTTTTAGGGGAAATAAAACTGTAATGCCAATTGTAATAAATTGGGAAATAAAACTACTTGGGAGGGGTATAAAGAATCCGAAAATGCGAACACACATTAATCGTGGTCACGTGTGTTCAACAATTAAAGAAAATCGCGACCTACAGAATTACGTGGCGAAGAGAGTGGAAAATATGGAAAAACTTTTCGCTGACGGTTGCCAAGGTACCGAGCACGTAATGAAAGTATTGCGTACATGTAAATATATATATATATATAAATATCCTGTTGAGGTGGATGTGGCTACAACTTGAATGTGTGTGCAGATCCAAAGGCGATTGTGAGCGACGCCTGATTGCAAACAGCTTCCAGTTGCGTCACGCGGATAATTAAATTAGAGAAGGCAAAATTTGGAGCTCAATTGCGAATGCAGATGAGAGTGGGGAATTCTCTGGGTGCCCGGAATGTGGCACCAGGACGACGACGACGACGAGGAAGAGAACGACAACAACAATGGCATCATAATCCGCAAACAAAGACAGTGTAAAGAGGGATCCCAGCGGGAGTGGGCCTTGGCATGTGTCCCGTCATCGATTTCCCTGCTTTTCGCCTTTCAAGCACCAAAGCATATTTTCGTCTTGCAAAATTATGCACAAATTTTTTAACAGTAGTTGTGCTTCTTGTGGCTGCTCCTGTGTGTGTGTATGTATGTGCGTGTGTGTTGGCAAACAAAGTCGAGCAAATATGTGCATACACACATCCACAGGAGGAGCGAATAGTGGAACACACCCTCATCCCCGGGATGTTGGTGCTTTTCTAATGCAAAGTAAGCCAAAAAACAAAGGAAAGGCCAAAGGGAGCATCTATCCAGCTGCCAGTCATGGTCACCTCCAGCTCCTATTCATCCTCCACCCGTTATTCTCGGTTCCCCACACAGAAAGAAATACATGGTAAGGTTTGACAATGTTAAGATTAACATAATAGGAAGTAATGTTTCATTAAAATTAATAAAAGTGATCTTTGATTATAATCCATTAAATTCCTTCATTATTAATAGAAAACGGATATTTGGTACACTGGTACTACATTTTTAAATATTTGTCAATTTGAATTTAAGCCATTGCGGTGTTTAGACCTTTTTTTTAAACATGACAATATTTCAATTTTGTAAAAGTTTTGATATGACTTTTCGTAATTTAACATCTGAAAATTTAATTAAAATTTAAAACATATTTAATTGTAAGATTTTAATACAATACCTTTCACATTAATTGAAATATTTTAAGATGCATTGGATTTTATATTAAGATCTATTATTTAATTTAAATAAATATTTTAAATATGTTGTTGAATTAAATAGTTAATATATATTTTTACTATTCCACTTTGGTATCGGTGTTATAATAGCTTTTGTAATACCTGTATTATATTTCTCTTTATTCCCATTGCATCTACCAATTTCACTGTGCATTACTTAATTTCACACAGATTAGGGATTTTTCCAGCTGCATTTGAAGTTGAGTCGACCAAGTTCAGTTGTTATTATTTGTGTGTATTTTTTCGTTTGCTTGTTTCATGGCCAAGGGGTATTAAAGGCTGGGGGCGACCCCAATGGCAATAGGGGGGTGTTTTGGCTTTGGGGCGAGACATGAGGTCATGGTCTCCCCAACTGCCCTGCAGAAAGTCTTTTGGCAGCAAACAACATTCATTATGCATGCATTTTAAATTGTAAATTTCACTACCTTGCATTCAGCAAGCCGGCTGCCAAAATGGATTTGGTGGCAGCCACAGCCACAGCCACAGCTCCTGTTCCGGCTTTTCTGCTCCTCGTTCCGGCTAAGATGCTGTCAGATTTGGGCCAGGCTAAGACCCACTGATGCGCTTGATGAGCTTTTGGCCATATTGTTTGAATTTTTACCAACTCAGAGGCTTAAGTCCCTTGTTGCCTACCGTTGGCATTCGGAAAGAATAATACTTTCAAATTTAATTATGTCAGACGGGGCAGAAATAAATCAAAACTTTATACACATTTTCCCATTAAAAGTCCAACTCGAAATTTGTTAATGAGTTGATCATTTTCATGCAGTGAACCGAGTGCTTGGGTTAATTTAATCAAATTAGTTGCACCATCGGCATTCCGGCATCAATTTGTGGCCATTTAAAGTGGCCCTAAAACTTCAAACTGCTTACCAAGTATTATGTGGAGACGAGAAGCCAGCCAAATTGAATATCTCCTTTCAAAATTGCCATGACAACTGAGCGGCAAACCGGAGTGGCAGAGCCACCGAAAACTTTGTGGCGACTGTAAACTTTTGTCTGGATGTGAGGCATTCAGGCATTGGGATTTGGGGCATAGATCAAAAACGCAAAAAGGGGCTAGGCTAGGGGCTCAAACCCAGGCTCAAGCTGGGTCTGATGGCGATGATGGGGATGACGATAATGGGCATTCAGGCAAATAGGCAAATCCGAAGGCAGGGACACAGGTTGCCATTGTTGGCAAGTGGCAACAAAGTCAGGCAAACAAAATCCGGACAGAGGAGATATATCTCTGTCTATGAAGTCCGGACACAGGACTCGTCTCCTTTGTCTTCCCCTTCTCCCTTAACACACATGCCAAAGCCTTTTGGGTCAGAAACTTTTCAAATACCTAATCCCCGTGCCAGTAGTAGGT